CAAGAGAAGATTCTTTAACATATTTCAGTGTTGAGAATTAGCAAGGACGTCTCTTGGCAGAAACAAAAAAAGGAGATATTCTTACCCAAATTTTAGCTGGTTTCATATTTTTCTTGTCCTTGTACTTCTTCACTCACTCTGCTATTTAATCTTTGATTGTAGGCCACTAAAGAAGTAATAGAGCGAGAAGCCCCAGGGATGGCCCTGGCAATGCTGATGGGATCACTTAATGTTACTCCTCTGGGCATGCTCTCTAGGTAAGACTATTTCCTTCAAAATATGAGTGGAACTGTTTCCTTAGAAATACACATTGCCATGAAATGACTATACACAAATAACTGAAGATTGCCATTGTTATCAGGACTAGAAGTCTTAACTTCAGAGAAGTGGCCAAATTCCAAGAATGGTAATTGCATTCTTTCATTTCATTCCCTTTGTTGTCTCCATTAGACACGGTATCCTCCTGTATTTTCTGTGCCAGGTTATTTGTAATATTGATGCATGCCATTAAACAGCTGTCTTTTCATCCTAGAGCTGTGGCATTTCAGTGGTGAGTGAAGAATTCTTCTATATGTTGTTCATCAAGTACTAAAATGCTTTGTTTAGCATAAAAAACCCTTGATAAATACAAATGGGTTGTTTTGATATTGCTTTTATTCCAGTATCAGCAAAAGCTCTCTAAGTTAAACAGTATTTTATCCCATGCTTTCAGATATAGTACTCCTAGAATTTGGTATTTCCTGCAAAATAATTAGTAACTGTTTCTGTGCTCATTGGTGTTTCTTTTTTATCAGTGACATCTCTTGTTATCCTGTATATCTTTCTGGAGTTGATTTTTATTTTATTCCTTCAATTCACCTCATTCTACCTATGATAGACTTAGTAATATCAATACCTTTCATAAGTTAGTTTGTGCTTGCATATTATGTCAAGGTAATTAAGAAACAACGGCTGTTACAGGTTTTTGATTTCTCATTGTATAATGAGGGTATAACAAGAAAATAATTATGTAAGAAATAAAGGAAGAACTTTCAAATCTGCAACTTTGTCCTCAGATACTTGCATTTTTAAAGGACATTTAGATGATAGGTTTAGTGATTCCACAATGTATTTTAAAACTTTTCATAGCACGTATCACATATCTGAAAGGGCAATATTACCATGTTAACACCTTCACATTCTGTCCAAATTAGCAAGTGTTTTCATTTTATTATCTGATATAATTGTTTATGTCATAGTGTATGTTTATCTGCAGGGAAAGGATAACAGAATACTACCACAAGGAGAGGAAAGGTTAATTTAGCTGTTCTGTTTCTCATCAAGAAAAGGATAGCCATGGAGAGGACACTACCAAGTTTGATTTAGGATGTGGTGTGATCAGGATGGCTGAAAGGATGTTGTAATGGTAGTGCAACCAAAATGCTGGATTGCAACCTGATTCTTCTGTACGTATAGGAAGAAAATGTTCCTTAAACTACAGCCAATTTCAGTAGTAATTGATGACAATGATACAGAGATACTGCATGCAATCATATAAGGCCTTAAAAAATTTCCCAGTGGAAACCTTTACTTCAGGTCTAAAAGTAATTAGGATGCAAAAGTCCATTATTTTTATAACACTGGTCAGATCATAAAGTTGAGTACACAAAAGTTACAAAATTGCAGCATTATGGTTTCTTTTGCAATCTCAGTTCTCCATGAATGCACCTGTGTGTTATGATTACATTTTTTTGTAGAATTCCTCTGCAAATGCTTAAGATGGAGGAAGGAAATTTACTTTTCTTTGTTTTGGTTGGCCTATGCGTAACCCTTAATCGGTTTTGGTGCTCTTTATTCAGAATCTTCTCTGAATGCAGACTCACTTCCTCTGGGATTTTTCTTACATCATTTGTTATTCTAAGACACAAATTGTTAATATATTTTCATAGAAAATTCTGCAAATTGAGATAGTGTTGTAATCCCCGCCTTACAATGAGAACTAAGGCACACATTAAGACAGGTCAACAACACACTAATTTTAGGTACACAGTTTAAGAAATGTAATCCAAATTTTTCAAAGTATTTAACATTAAATGTCACTTGTCCTAAGCTTAACTCTCATTGACTTCATTTTGAAATGAAGTTCTGATAGATAATTTTGCATGTAATGTGTTTGACTTTTCAAAAAAAACAAAAGCAGAAGTTCCATTATGCAACATTAAGCTGAACTTCTATAAATCACCTGCAGGTTTGGAAATGTTAGGTCAATCATGTTGAATTTTATCACATGAACTTTTAAAAATTTTTATAAGTTATAGGCTGTCTTCCTGACTATGGGTCAGCATTAGGAAGTGGTGAGTTATTTTGTAGACTGGATTCACAGATAGTTACAAGCAAATGAGGGGCAGTGAGACTCTCGCAGTTCAGATTCAGTCCCAAGGTCTAGCATAGAGTATCTTCGAGCGTCATAGACCTTTTTATGTGTTTCCTGAAAGTGTTTCCTTTTCTTCTCTGTGACCTTCCAAAACTGTCCTTGTCCCAGAATTATCTTTTCCCTTCACCCAGTTCCTTACCTGTCAACTACCCATGCTGTGCCAGTCTTTACTGAAGCTTTTTAAAGCACTCTCTGTGCCCTTGCCTATCTATTCTGCTTTTATCAGCATAATTTCTTCCCAGGGAGATCATGTTTTTTTCCCAATGAAATAATTTTCTCCATTCCTAGTTCTGCATCAGACCTGTATTTCTTTCCTCCCACATCCATTTTTTTCATCCTGTTTTTCCTTCCACTCCCTTGCTTCTATTTGTATTCTTCTTTCTCAGACTTCTTTGTGTTTTCTTAAAATTTACATCCCCTGCATCACAAGGCTGAGGATAACATGAGATCCACAGGATCTCCTTCAACTGTTCTGCATTTGGAGGAATATCATTAATTTATCTCTCAAATTACCCAGAATGCATGCACATTTTGTGTGCTTTTGTGTTGTGAGCACATACAGTATTTTTTGCAAGCCATGCAGTTCTTAGGTACTTTTACTTACTTTTGCATGCTCTCTTGAGAAATTTTTGGCAGCTCCATTTCTGTCTTGAGCCACTAGATGTGATTATTGGCAGCCAAAACTTGTAGCTTTCAGGAGAAAGGCTGCTGGTTTAGTCCTTTTTTATTATTGGTTGATTGGACTGGTCATTTAGCTTATAATGTTCAGAATTATTTAAAGGAGAAAAAAAGAGCCAAGAAGAAGATTATTAAAGGAGCTATCTGCCAAACACAATTCCACCTCATTTTAATTCGTCTGTGGATAATTCCTGTTTCCTTTACTTTGAATCTGTCATAAACTGTATCCCATGTATAGGATTTGCTGGACTGCGTTTGTACTCTGCAACAAGTAAGTTGCAAGTTTGACTACTGCAACAAGAGTAAATGAGCACATTTCTTTAACTCAGGCTTGTAATCTTTGTATTGCAGTAGAGCATTCCTCAACTACCTGGAATTCTTTCTTAACTGAGGGTATATAGTGTGAAAGAAGTGAATATGGGAAAAGGGAAATATTCAAGCTGCCAGTTGAAAATAAGACTTCAGGCTGGCTTGACTGTGATATCCAAAGTTAATTTTGTGGCACAAAAACGGTCTCTGTGCTACTTAATTGTGAGCATTATGACAGCTGTTGCTGGAATACTTGCTACCCTGCTAGAAAATGCCATGCTACCAATAAATGACATTAATCACCAAGAATTATTTGTATAAGAAGAAATCCAGGGAAGTTGGCTACCCCACAAACCATGTCCTTTGGCTCAAAATTTCTGGTAATGCCCTATCAAGAAATTGTTTTCTTTTCTATTCTGTCTTCACTTATGGCTCATGTTTTTGTTTGATAAAGAGCTTGTTACACAATTTCTTTCAACTGTAGCCTCTGTATCTTTGTGGTTTGGTTTCATCCTTTTACTTTTTTCTTATCCTTATATCCCAGCCCTGGGTTTTTCACCACTGATTTTGTAAACAGTGGAGAAAAGCAGGAGGTACTCTTTACAACCTCAAGACAAAATCCAGTAATTTTTTTTTTTTCCCTCAAAAAATATTTAGCTAAAAGGAGGAGGAAGCAAACTCTATAAACAACAGAAAGCATCCAACACTTGGGTGTTCAGCCCTGCATCAAGACCAAAGGAATTCCCTAAAGACAAAAAATAAAATAAAATCTTCCATCTTTGATAGTTGCTTTCATCTTTTTTTGAGGGGGAAGGAAAGACTGTTAGGAATAAGTAGATATGAATTGCATAAGTGCAATTTTCACCTGAGAATTACTTCCCTCTGTGCTTTTGTTGTGTTGCATCTTTAAAAAAAAAGAAGACATATTTGAATTAATGCAACCAGCATTACTTAGTATTTTTACCTAGCAAGGGAAATAGTGTTTGACACCATCAATTGCATTACAAAGGTACCATGTGTATGAGCAACTAGGGACTATATGAAAGAATGTATTAGATGCAAGTAAACAATAAAATTAAGGAAGCTACACAGATCTAAAAAAGATGGAAATCTAGCCAGTGTTTATACTATCAATTAAATGTTAGACTCTGTCAGCCTTGTTTGATGCTTTTTCAGCTCAGCTTCTCCTGAGCAAGGATCTTTAGGTGTTGGAAATTGAGCTTACAAATTCTGATAAATAATAAGAATTTATCTTAAATGCTGTGTTCTTGTTTCTACAGTGGAGAAAGTTGCATGCAAGAATTTCACTCTGGGTTTCTTTCTTTTCAGACCTGTGTGTGGAATCAGAGGGAAAACTCTCATAATTAATCTGCCAGGTAGCAAGAAAGGGTCACAGGTAAGAAGCGTTCTTCCTGATCTGCTACTGAGGACCCATGATGAGTACCTCCCATTGTTCTGAACAGTAGAAAGTATGCAGTACAACAAATTTTACAGAAGTGAATTGAAATGCATATTCATATAACTGAACACACCATCACTCTCAGTCAGGGACAATACAATTCTGATCTGATTGAAGGTACAGTGTGACCAAGACAGCATTACATGTAGTGCAAGAGAGCACTCACTGTAGCAGGCAGTGCTAATGAAGAGTCTAATGGTCTCCTACCCTTCCTCCTTCTTCTCTAGTCAGCCTGTACCTGATCCCTGTGTTGTCTACAGCTTCCAAGAAAGCGTTCTTTTTCACACAGAAGAGGAAGGCCTAGTGTATGGTAGAACTTGCTGAAGTGTGAAGAATATTCGTAGTTTTGGTCAGCAAGAAGGGAAAAAAGGAACATTATTTTTAAGAGTTTGAGGATTTTTTAAAATCAGACTTTACACCCTTCATACAGTTTGTTTTCTTCCTGCATTTTGGTCAGTTTGGACAGGGAAGTTAGGCTTTGTGGTTTTATTCATGCTTACTTTCTGACTGTAGAGCTGAGAGAAACACAATTAAACATCAGGAGGAAATTTTTTTTTTTTTTGGTGTTAGTAAGGCTAGATCTTTCCAGTGCTCGCTCTTTCTATGTAGTTGGCTGATAGATCCAGAAAAATGGCCTTCTCCACACAAATACTGCTAAGCTGAATAGTGGGCTGTACAACCTGATACAAAGCTGCTAAGGTAGATCTCCCATCAATCACGAGAATGTATTTCTCCAGGGCTCAGACTATGTCAGTGGCCTTGTTAAAAAATGTCTTTACCTCTGGCCTCTAACAAATGCATACCTGGTAGTTTATCAACGTCTTCTGAACCAGTATTACGCAATCACAGAGGAGACAGTACTAATGTGTTTGGCAGCACAGCCCTGAAGTCACTGTTGCTTGAAAGACTTATGTCTGGAGATAAATAAAGAAAGTTTATGGGGGCTGTCACTTGGAAGTTGAAGAGGAAATGTTTTGAATACTATTATCTTAAGCAGCCATCACAGGTTTTCAGACACATTGTCTACATGTTTCAGTTCAAGGACTCAGTAAGCCCTCCCATGATTCTACCATTCCTTAGAGCCTTTTTAGGAAATCTAATGAGACTCTGTAATTGCAAAGAAATTAAAAAGCCTTCAAAGCATGCAACAAGCATTGGAAGATGGGGGGCCGGAGTATACCTACTTGAAAGTCTTCATGTTATGAGTGGAAAGTCATATGTATGCACATGTATTTAACATAGCAATGGGCCCCACATCTTAGAGAACTGGTGCACCAGTAAGAAGATTTTTTTCAGAAGTCTATACTTCTTTTGTTGAATGATAAAAGAGATTAAATAGCCTACAATCTCTAATGGTTTTTGTTGTATTCAGTAGCACTCCTAACATGCTAGGTACAGAAAACATTGTCATTTTCTGCCCTGAGGCACTCAGACTGTGAAGATAGGTAAATTGTAGAAAGAGGATGAGGAAAAAACAATGGGAAATTGTTAGTAAGTATTTTAACAATAGTGCGATATAAAGTAAGTAATAAAAAAGGTAATTCTGCTGGAAAAGAAAAAAATGTCATATGATTTCATTTTACAAGCAAGCTTTTTATAAACTGATGATTTATTTGTTCCTGTCGTGATGATAGTCTGTTCTGTCACATTTTATTTTAATATGAAACATCTTTAAAGTATCAGATTTCAGCAAAGATTTTTAAGATGAATAGTAGAGAAAATTGTTCCATAACCAGCTGGATCTCAAGAACTCAAAAGGATGGGTTGTTACCAGAAATTTCTCTCATTTCTCTCTTTTATAACTTGCTAATTTCCTTTCCATCGTATTAATATAATCATATAAGAAGCTTATATAAAGTTATGAAATTGCAGCAGTATACATATTTCATTAAATAAACTATTAAAATATTAGTAGAAAATGGCAGCAGTGTAAATGCTCGATCTCAAAAATGGACACAATGCCAAACGTGTTTTCTCCAGTGAACGTTTGTGTGGCATGTACCATTGAATCAAGATCTGCAGAGTACTACCATTTTTGTGTTGTTCTGGTCTGTTTTCTTTCCTTTTAGCTTGCACAGTTATTTAATGTTGTGAAAGAGGGCAAAGTGTGAAATTACCAGGCGGTCATTGAAATCATTGCGTCTATGGCAGTTTTCATAATTGTACTAACAATTGCCTAAAACAATGAGTTTTACAAATAGCATGAGCTTTTGGAGTACTTACTGGGAACTTATTCATCAACAGTCAAGCCAACAAGGCTTTATCTCAGTGGTAGGAGTGGGGAACATGCTTCTCTAATGAGTTAATCATTAACGTACCTTTTCATGATTATTGGTCAGTTCAGACTGTTGTCCTTGTTCACCACTTACTTGAGGTCTGCTTTTTTACTGAAGTAGTGATGGTTCTATGCTTCAGTATTTTAAACCATTTTTAAAATAAAACTAATAACACAATAGCTCTGAGGTTTTCCATTACATTCGAAGTTTTAATTCTTTATTATGTTTACAAATATATTTTAATATATATTCATTATATACAGCATCTTATGCTCATCCAGTTTACTCCAGTTCTTCAGAGTGCCATATTGAATGTTTAAAGAGTTTATAAATCTATGAAGTAGTCTGACTTTTCATTACTCTTAAAGGAGCAACTGAAAGGTGGGTTCTTATTTAGAAGCTTTGAGGAAATACAGTGTTTGTGAGTCATGTTTTTGACTTACAAAGTGGCTTATATAAACTCTAGTAATTTCTGATGGATGATTTGCTCTCTATTTTGTTTACATAGTCATTTTTATTTATTGAAAATATTTGTTACAGTATCTATTTACAAAATGTTTATCATTATTTATTTTCTGGATACTCTAAAATGTTGGAAGACATTTTCAAAAATCCTCCTTATGCTTGAAACAAAGCTGAAAATGAAGTGCAACAAAAGGAATAATGTCAGCTTTCCCTGTCAACTTGTGTGTTCCCTAACTGCACTGCTATGGCAATTCATTTCTGTGACCCTGCCATCATTTTCCAATAATTTAATGTTTATATGCAGTCTGCTGAGATGACATGAAGAAAACTCTTTACTGAGGTGCCTGGGAGGAGGATGAGAGACAATAGTCATAAACTGAAGAATGTAGCTTCCAGCTGGATAAAAAGAAAAGGAAAAAAAAAAAATCACTTCAAGGGTAATTAAGCATTAGAACAGGTTGTCAAGAAAGGTTGTGGAGTCTCTGTCTCGGATTTTTTCAAGACTTTACTGAACAAAGCCCTAAGCATCCTGTCTGAATTCTGTATTGACCCTGATCTGAGCAGGAGGCTGCAGTGCGTGATGACCTGAAGTTCCTCTTTGATTTGATGAAATACTAGCATATTTTAGTAGCAGAGGTAGCTATATATGTATATGCCCATTATGGAACAAGAAGAACAGTTACATGGTGTCTGCATTTTTGCTTTCTCCAGCCATATAAAATAAATTGGTTTTAAGATCATAGAGCAAGGAGAGGTTTGAAAAATAGATTATTTATGAACAATTTTTTCTGAGTTACATAAAATTATAATGATATCAGCGTAGTTTGTCATTTTTCCAGTATATAGGATAAGTCCGTGAATAAAAAAGGATATAATTATAGAAAACCATAATTATGGAAACCCTTATGAATTGTTCTCTAATTGTGAAGGAACATAATAGGAATGATTTGAAGCTAATATCCCTGCAGGGATAGAGTTAATGTTTTTATTCTGCATTTTTATAGCATTCTGCCAACTGCTGTGAACTGTTTTCTGTATTACGTATTCATGAAAATTTAACTCTTATTTTCCGAACTTTTAATCCAATATTAGCTTAATTACAGTAGCCCCATTGTACAACTTACTATATTTGCTTGAAAAAAGGCAAAAATATGTAGTCTGGTCTGCAGTTCTGGTTCTGAGTTTGTTTTTTTACCCTCTGTGAGCAATTGCATAGGGCATTTAAGGTTTTATTTATGATCAGGTGAAAAGATACATCTGAATCCTGAATATCTTTTAAGAGTAAATCTGAAAAATCGCTATTTACTTCTGCAGGTAACTTTTCATAATAATTTCTCTTCTTGTTGTGCATAGGAATGCTTTCAGTTTATACTGCCAGCCCTACCTCACGCCATTGATCTTTTGCGGGATGCCATTGTAAAAGTAAAGGAGGTACACGATGAGCTTGAAGATCTACCTTCGCCACCACCTCCTCTTTCTCCTCCTCCAACCACCAGCCCTCACAAGCAGACAGAAGACAAAGGAGTACAGTGTGAGGAAGAGGAGGAAGAGAAGAAGGATAGTGGAGTTGCCTCGACAGAGGACAGTTCTTCTTCACATATAACGGCAGCAGCCATTGCAGCTAAGGTGAGTCTGGCTTGTTTCCCTAAGAGACCCTTTAGTTTCTATCTCAGGTACTTTCCACCAATATTCATTTGCATGTTAAGACTATACACTGATGGTCTGTGTAGTCGAACAGATGTATTTTAGGTACATTTTGTAGAAATACAGTTTCATAAAAATATATGAATCCTGTTTTGCTAGGTGATCTCAAATTTCAGTGGGAGATATATATTGTTTAGTATCTTGATGATAACATTCTGATGTGACAGATTATTTTTAGTTGTTGTTTTTTAATTCAAAGTACTGACATGCCTGAACATACAAAGTCCAGAAGGTGGCATATTAAGGAATCACAACAAATTTTTCTAAGCCATAATATCTATTTTGAAAAGAAAATGTTGGTTTCTGAAAACATTGATGAAAAGTTTGACAGATAGGTAGCAGGTTAAGTAATAAGCTATCCAGACTATCGTATTCCAGTGTGCATGTCTGCATAAGAGATGTGAAATTCTGCTGCAAAACTAAACGTCATCACGTTGTCTTTGTAGCCTTGCTTTAGCCAGTAATTATAGATCAACATTACTCAAACCAAAATAATAAATTTGAGACTACAAAAGGAAAAAATTAGATAACACTTGCAAATCATTTCAGTTCAAATTTTAGATGTTTTCCAAAGAAATATCATATTATTTGAAGCAATATATAAATATTTACCTCAGTTTTATGTCTTCAGTTTTCAAATGGAAAGACAGTGTATTCCTATGTGTTTGGAAAGGCTTTTTTCCAACTGTTTTGTTCTATATTTACTCCACAAATTGTACTTTTAATTCCTGTTGTGGGAAATGAAAGTCCAAGTAACTCAAAATTATATTAAACAATTTCTAAACCAAAGCAGCAACATTCTAGCTCCAGAAATGTGAATTCAGGTCTGAGACATCTTGACATTTCTAAGACAGCTGCAGCTGGAGATCTTCTCCTCATGTACAGAAAATCCTGATTACATATATCTTTACAGGGATGAATTAATGTAATTATCACTTGCAAGTTTCAGTTTTTATTAATGCAAATTTCAAAATAATTAATGCCTTTTGATATAAGCAAAGATAAATAATATGTGCAATTTTTAAAGGTAGAAAATACCTGAGATCTGAACTGGTTGTGTTCATATGAGCTTTGCATTTCAGTGTCACACTTGTTTTCACCTCATTCCCTTTCAGTCATTTGCTTGTATAGTTGCATGTTTTCCTGTCACTGTATTCATAGCTGTTATGTGTTGTGCATTAGAAGCATCCATCCTACACCAGTTCAGCTGTTATCATGGCAAAAGGTGAACAGCCCATCCCTGGTCTCATCAGTTATTGCCATCACGCAGCAGGCAGAGAAGGAGAACCGGTAAGAGACACTTCCAAGAGGCTTTTGCACTAACATTAGCTAAAAATACACTGCCTGCCTCCTAGTCTACTGTGTGAGCAGACAGTGTTATTTATTTTCTTCTAACAAAGATGCATCAGTGTTATCTTTTAGAGAACATGCTACAGAAAATATTCTGTTTAAGATACAGGGCTAAACAAGGTAAAGTTCGTGTGTGTTGTCAGCTTGAATCATTTGGCTGCTGAGATGATCATTGCTGTAAAGCCTCTATTTCTGATTAGTCATCACCTTTATCATCTAAAATACTTAATAATTTAATATAATGATAATAATCTCCTAACATTACTGCTTTAGAGCTATGAAATTTTGGTAACTTTTTCCCCTTCGTATGCCTTGCTTTGCTTTTTTCTCTCAATAGTTTGTTTGTCAACATAATACAGCATTTACACTGGGTGTTCATAGTTTGCTTTCATCATTTGCAGTCTCTCCCTTTTTTTGTATTCTGTTTAGAAGTAGAATTTCTCAAAAACAGATGAAAAGACTTGAGGAGTCAGCATACAGTGGACATAGAATAAATTACCAGATTTTACGGAATAGTAGGCAATTATTTGAATGAATGGTAGAAAGGACTTAGTTTATTATAACCCAGAGGTTATAACTTGGGCTCCAACAAAATACTATACTTTAGTTTCCATATTCCAAAGGTTTAGTTTAGGCTTGACTCAAGATAGAATAATGGCTACAGTATCATCAGGGGTGAAACATAATTTACTGTATTAATAACTGTAGGTTAGAGAAACCTAAAGAAGGCAGTTGGCCTAGGGACAGTTTTGCTGGCTGACCCTTTCATTCCATGTCAGCCAGCAAATGGGGTTTAAGTTCTTGGGAAAATATGTCACTGGATTTGATGACCAGAGGCTGCACTTTCTTATTCCCTTAGGCAAAAAGTAATTTAAACCATCAATCAAATAGCGTAACACCTCTGTATTCAAAACATGATGACTATGTCTCTCTTGAAAAGTCACTTAGGAAACGTGAAGGGTTTAAAGTTCACACACCTGATGATAAAGCTATATATGTGTATATAAAAATATACACACACATTTATTCTAATAGTTTCATTTTTTTAAGTTGAGGTTGCTAAACTTGAATTTGCACCATATTCTACAGTATCAGTAAAACAGTGAATTCCACCTCTCTAAAGCACGCTGCTAAGATGTCATCCAGGCTGCTGTGCCCTTTTGCAAGTTACTCTTGAGTTACTGTTTTATGCATTCTATAATCCAAATCAGATCTTCAAACTCAGAGCAGGAAGTGGCTAGTTTTTCAGAAGGTGGTTGGGTTTTTTTTAACCTGTCCTTTCTCTGTGTTTTTAAGACAGTTTTGCTCTTGTATAACAATCATAGTAATTACCATCTACAGCTTGTTTTCTTAGTACCTCACCAGCACTGTCAATCTTTGTTCCAGTCCTGGGCAATAGAGAATAAAGAGCTCATATCTTTTCCTTTTTCCCCTTCTTGCCAACACTTAGTTCTCTAATCTGAAAACACAAATATTTAAACTGATATAAAAGTACTTCTGGAAAAGGTCATGTGAGATGAAAATTGTAGAATCAATGACTGATGGATATGGTGGATATCTTTCTCTGTCACTTCATTCATTTCTCAATCATTTCTTTCTCTGTCAGTATGTTACAACAGGTTTTCCACTCCAGCTAGTGAAAACAGAAACTATTTTTACTGAACTTAAGAGTTTTATTGTACCCCATTGAGAGTTTTGAGGCCTCTACCCTCTACTAAATTTGTTTGAAACTGGTAAATGAGTTGAAAAATTTTAGGGGGAGACATCATAAATACTCAGAGTGTGACTTTGTGGAAGTTTAAAAAAAAAGAAATCTGCCCAAACCACAATAATATTCCTGTCTTTCCGTATTGCAGATTTCCAGGCTCCAGGAAACATAGAAATTTCTCATGGGTTTATCAATCTCCTTAACAGGGTTAACAAGAAGTTGCCTTGATTAGAGGCTTAGATTGCCTAAATTTGATTTTAAAAGGAAACCAACTTCTTAAATGTAGGTGAGAAAAATTAGACATTCCCCATATCACATAACATATATGCATAGAAATACAGATCATATTGTATTGTCCCTTTCGCTTAACAAACAGTATATATCCATTATATTTTTTATATATTTATGGTTATGCAGTATTCATATTAGTACCTTCTCTGTAATCAGCAGTTTGTAGTGGTTTAAAGAGAATATTAATGCTGGTTTTAGCAATACAACTGCTGTCATATTAGAGAAATAAACCTCTTGAGAACAAAATTTGTAAATGTGAACTAATAATTCTCTCAGATTTTTCTGCCTGCAAAAGTTAGCAAGCTGAAACTTAGAGTTCTAGATAGGTTTATATATGGATTGGTCTATGGCAATTGTATTTTCTGTAAAGGTAGTGATTAGGGAATAATTGTCATTGAAATGAAATGCCTGTAATCATCTTTCCCTTTATCTTCAGCTTCCTTTTCTGATTAATGTCCTGGCTGAAATTTTACTTAAATTTTAATTTTCTCACAAGCAAAAATTAGTACTTCACATGCAGTTCAATGGAGGCTGGAATTGTCTCAGTCACTTCGTTGCAGAGTTTTTTGTTCTGAAAAAGGTGATATTTTAGAAGCAATGATTGATGGATATGGTGGATAGGACAAAAAAAAAAAAAAACAAAACAAAACCAAAAAATGGTTAGTTGCCTGAGGGGAATGAGACAATATGTAATACCTGGTTACTCTAGAGTAACCAGAGTTAACCCAGGGAGAACTGGATCATAGTATCATTTGCAAAAGCAATATTGTATTTGTATTGTGGGATCTTGGAGTACATAAAAGAGGTACACAATCATATCAAGATGTGTGCAGGTTTTATCAGAGGAGAGTAAAGAAAAGGTGTCTTATTTGAAGACTTAAAACTATGCTTTCTTTTATTGTGTCTTACTTTATTTTTATACCTTTACCAAAATGTAGTTTTTTGCTGGATTATCCTTAGTCGTGGAGATTAAAAGGAAGTATTAGAAGTTGTAGGTAGTATTTGAGCTATGCCAATATAAAACTTAGGGATGTCAGCCTCTTTTTTGTGTTTAACATATTTAAGGTGGGATTTCAGAAGAAAAAGAGAACAGAAGGGAAATGTTGCTTCTGACTACAGACTGTTTGCATGATCAGAATATCATTGTCCCTGTTTACCTCTATTTATAGTACATCTCTAAGATGCCATTTGCAAATCAGAACACTCCAAGCAGAGGCCAGTTAGGCACTGTTTCTGGAGAAGAAGAAATCCCCAGCATCATCGTCCATAGTGAAGAGAAACTCTGCTGACTTCACAATTTGTAGTGGAAATTGCAGCATAAGTTACTTAGCCTTGAAAGATCCTCTGAGGAAAGTTGGGGTTTTTTAAATGCTGACAGAAATTGACTGGCAAAAAAATACTGTCAGTCTAGAAACACAGCAATAGAGCAGAAAGCAGGCAGTTGGTGGCACACTGAGAGAAAGATCTGCTTCCACACAGCTTATAAACAGGTTATAAACATGAGAAACTCTAATGGGTGGAGGAAGGTTTATGGTGAACTAAGATCCCCTAGGTATAACCCAGTATGTCCAAGTCAAGGTTGCTAAGTTAGACAGTCATTATTTATAGATGGGGACCAAGGAAGTTGAGGGGGGAAAAAATGACATAAAAAAGCAGTATTTAATGATGTGAGCGTTAAGATTGGTCATTTTAACTGCACAGAGACAAGCAACAAAGCTGTCTTAATATCCTGACACTGGTCCTGAGGGTGCAGCAGATTAAAAGCTAGGATTCAAGCTTGTTCCTGGAAGGACGTACCTTCCAGTAGCCTCTATTTGCCCTAAAGCCTTACTAGGCAAGAATGCTCAAAATGCCTTGATGCAGACTGGTACAGCCTCTCAATTTTAAAAAAAATCCTGGCTGGAGATGTCCAGTGTTGGTGATTTGGCTTGTCACTGGATCTTCATTTCTTGCTTCCTTTTATTGTCTGCTACTGCCATTTCCCCCAAACATGGGGGTTCTTTTGGTGGTTCTCTTAGAACTTGAACATCAGGCTGGGCTAAGAAATTCTTAATGAGGACAAAGATCTTAAACTGTGTGTACATATATTCTGTCAAAGACTTGATTTCTACATTTTCTTGTCTGTTGTGATAGGAAAGTGAATTGCAGGAAGTAAGAGCAATCTGATCTGGTAGAAGTGCTGCCTCTGAAAAAGGAAGAGGTTAAAATCATGAAAATAAAATCAGAATAAGCCTTTGTAGAGAGTGTGTTAGAGCAGAATATCTGCTGCATTTTGTGTTGTAGAACTAACGTTAGAGATCAGTTCTCCTATCTGAGGTATTTATCATTCGTATGTCTTAGCATTTTAGACAAAATATAAAAAATTAATCATTACGTTAAAATAGCAATCCAGTCAATTATAAAGCCAGTGTGATATCTGCACGACTGGGCCCAAACACTGCAGTAATAAGAAGCAACAGACTTTCTAAGACTTGGTATGTTAAAGCTAAGAAAAGCTTTACTCTTAAATGTATTCTTCTACCTCTTTTCTTTGGAACCGGTGATAAAACTGAACGGAAGAGACAGAAGATATAAAATAATGATAGATTCACTTTTATTACTGAAAATAAGACAATTTTCTCACTGTTGTAAGTTGGTGTAGTTCCATTTATTTAAGGGCTTAACAATACCAGCTAAAGGATCTGTCCCTAAAATTCCAGCTTAGAAATAGCTGGCCTTCTAATAAGTTGGGGAGGGAGGGGGAAGACTGAATTTTTATTTTTCCCTTCAGAATGCATTTTAAACCAAGTGTTGGCTTTGGATGGTGTTTTCTAGTGCCTGTACTCCCTCCAGAGAGGCCTGTAGTTTCTGCAACACAAACCTTACATCAAGAAACTTTGTAGCTGAAATAAAGTCTTCAGTACAAGGAATGAAGAGTATTTACTCACTGCATGACATTTCTTATGAGAAGTTTTCTCACTGCATGATGTTTCTTCAGGGGGGTTCAGTCATTGCTAATTGTCATGGTTTAGC